TTTGCAGTATACTCTGCTCTCTGGCTTTTTTTTCTCTCTCAGTATTGTGTTTGAGGATTCACTCATGCTGTTGCATAGTTCATTCCTCAGTACTGTTACATGATAATTTGTTGTTAAGCATCTTATAATTTCAGTGCAGTTGGTATCCTACGGACAAAGGCCAGGCTTCGGTTTGGGGCTCTTTGTCATGCTGTTAGACTTTTGTAAACATTCATCTCTGCCTTTTGATAGGTGTGTGTGCACTTACATTGGCTGTGTTGGGATATGGTATCGTGGGTGATGTAATAGACACATGTTCAATATTAGCAGACACTACCAGTTAGTTTCAGATATGGCACGGCTGTATTCTTGCACCAGCAAAGTATTTCTTATTAGCATCTGATATTTCTTCCTCGTTGAAGATGTTTTGCTTAGTGTGTGTTAATGTCTGATTCCTGGATCATTACTAATTTTATATGAAGCTCATAAAACTTTCGTCCTTTCGTGTGTGTATGTGTTGGGGTGGAGTCCCTGAATGTATCTCTGTGCATGTAGTTCCCTTGGAGGCCAGAAGTGGGCATCGGGTCCCCTGGTCCTCTGGAACTGCAGTTCCAGGTGGTTGTGAGCTGCCTGATGGGCACGAGGGACAGAACCTGGCCCCTCTGCAAGGGCAGCAGGCGCTCTTCACTGGCCACTCTTCTCTCCAGTCCCAAGCTTTGCCCATTTTCATTGGACGGTCTGCTTTCTTGTTGATTTGTCAGATAAATTCATAGCAAATGCTTTTCCCTTTATGTGGCTAGCCTTCTTTTTTTTTTTTTTTTTTCCTTTTTTCCTTTTTCACTTCTTAATGATGCATTTTTAAGTATTTGCTCTTAATTTTTATGGAATCCAATTTCTCAATATTTAATTTATGTATTGATTTTGATGGCATTGTTTAAAAGTACTTGGCAACTCCACACTCATAGAACTGATATCTTACAGTTTTGTTGTATTTTGACTTTTGAGACAAGGCCTCATGTACCAGGCTGGCCTTGAACTCACTCTAGGTTAAAGTTTGATTCATTTGGGATTGTTTTATTGTTCTTGTTTATGGTGTGAGGTTAGAGTTCAGTTTCCTTGTTGTTTGTTTTTGTTTTTTAATAGTGGGTTTTTAAGCACTTAAATCTTTTATTTTTTACTTTTAAATTTTTCTTAAATTTATTTATTTCTGTGTGTGTGTGTGTGTGTGTGTGTGTGTGTTTCCACTGATTGTGTGTCTGTGTTGTCTCACAGGCATGCTTGATTCCAGGGAGGTCAGGAGGGGGTTTCTGATCTTTCAGGGACTAGAGCTCCAGATGGTTGTGAGATGCCATGTGGGAACTGAATCATGGATCCTCTGCGGGAATAAGTGCTCTTAACTGCTAAACCATCTCTTCAGCTCTCCTCATATTTTAAAGATTTTTGTCGGGGCTGGAGAGATGGCTCAGAGGTTAAGAGGCTGTTCTTTCCAAGGTCCTGCATTCAATTCCCAGCAACCACATGGTGGCTCACAGCCATCTGTAGTGAGATCTGGTGCCTTTTCCAGTGTGCGGACATACATTCCGGCAGAATGCTGTATAAATAATAAATAAATCTTAAGACAAATAAAGGGTTTTGAGTCTGGTTAGTTGCTAAGTTGGTCTGTAGGTTTCCTTATTTTATTCTGTTTTTATGGGAAATCTATACTGTTTTATAAAGAGCTGTAGGTGGGCTGGAGAGAGGGCTCAGTAAGTGCACTTTCTGCTCTTACGGAGGGGCTGACTCACAGCCTCCTGTCACTCCTGTTCTCGGGATCAGACGCCCTCCTCTGATGTCTGCTGACCCTATACATAACCACACACACACACACACACACACACACACACACACACACACAATTAAAAATAAATCTTACAAAAACTGTGGTGGTGTATGCGTTAGTCCCAGCACTTGAAAAGCAGTCCCTGTCATTAAAAATAAAAAAATAAAAAAAAGGAGCTGTGTCATTTTTGTTCCCTAAAGTTGGAGTAATTAGTAGTAAAATGCATGTGAACCTGAAGCTCACTGTGAGGGCGCTTTGCTATAGCCCGCCTTTTGCAAGCTATGGAGGACTGTTTTACTTTATAATTTTTCAGGAAGTTTTGCTACGCTGTGTCCTTCTAGCATTTGTGCTTTTTATTCAATTTTTAGGTCCACTGGCCTCAGGGTGTTTATTGTTTTCCATGTTCTAGTGATGATTTTCATTTCTGTGTAAAAATCTGCCTTCCCTTCCCTTTCACTTGGTAATATTTAAAGTATTCTCTTTGCAAGTTTATCTTGGCATGTCTCTTTTTATTGTACCTTTGCTATTTCACTGATTCCTGGTTTTGTTCCTTCCTTCAGTTTATCTGTGTTTTCTTTTTTATATGGTTGATAGTGTTTCTTTTTGGCTCTAAACAGCGGATGTTACCGTTTTCTCTGTGGCGTGTGTCCTAGCTCTGGGGCATGCTGCACTGCCATCCTCATGCGGTTTGAAACACCTTCTTGCCTGTGACTCTGTCTGTCCTCAGAAAGGCAGTTATCATATGTGCGACTGTGTGTGGCGCTTTTAGGTCTGTGCAGTGTTGAATGTGTTCCCATTCCTTCTTTTATGTTTTTGGCTTCCTTCTGGCTTGTGAATGCACCGTCTCTGGGAGAGCAGCAGGCGCGGGGCCGCTGCTTGCGCATCTCGGCGAGCATCGGTTCTGTTGGTTCACATTTTCAAACTCAAGTCTAGGTTATTAGTCGCTGGCAGGAGTTCAGTGTTGTTAAGAGTTCCCAAGCTCCCTCTGGACAGAACTCACTTCCAAAGGTTAGAGTGAGCACAGGGCTATGCTAGTGGATTTCCACCAACAGCAGGAGTGGCTGAAGTTCTCAAATCGGTTTCACCTCCTAGGGCTGGAGAGAAGGCCCAGTGTGTTCAGAGCACTTGCTGTTCCTTCAGAGGACCCAGGTTTGGTTCCCAGCACCCAGATCATTACTGTTGTCCTTTCTGAATGTTAAGACAAGTGAATTTGGGGACCCAGGATGTTTTTAATATGCCTAAGGGGTGTCTAAATTATTCTCACTTAGACTGTGTCCCTACAATACATGGCCCATGGCTGCTGCAGCCAGTGCACGCCGTCAAACTCGGTACAGCTCCTGGATCTACCAGTTGCTGGCTCGTGGCTTCGGCAGCCTGCTTCTGACACAGTGAAGGTTCTTTGGTAAATATCTAATGAGTGTATGAAGCTACTGTGATGTCTGAGGCTGTTTCCTTGTCTGTAAAATAGATATAATCATGCACTTGTTCAAAGATTACACACAGGTTTTAAAAATCAGCACACAGCAGGCTTCCATTGACATTATGTATGGGAATCACAAATTGTATTAATGTCAAGAAAGTTCTGCAAAAGCTGAAGTTAAGTAAGTATATGGAAGTGGCAAGAGGAGCGCCCCATCACGGTGCCCCGGCCAGTGCTTGTGCTGTCACTGGTCCCTCTCGATACCTGTGCTAGTAAAGCAGTTTCTGTGCTCCCCAGTTGTGGGCAGGCCAAGGTGTCAAAAGTGACATCAGGTTTTTAAGGAGCATAGAGCATCACCATCAGAGCACACGCCTAAGGAAAGAAGGCAGGTGGGAAAACATGAAAGAGGAAGGCTCTGATATGCAGACAGCTTCTCTAGAAGAAAGGTTGATATTGGCAAGAGTGTGTTGAAGGGCTGCAGAGACGGCTCAGTGGTCCTCCTAGAGGACCCAGGTTCAATTCCCAGCACCCAGATGGCAGCTTACAACCAGCTGTGACTCCATTCCCAGGGAATCTGATGCCACCCCTGCCTCCACAGGCACCAGGCATGCATGTGGTACAAAGACATACATGCAGACAAAACACCCATATACATTAAATTATTTTTTAAGTATGTTGTTTGATATACTCAAGGACATTTCTCAGCTGTGCGTGTGTGAGAGAGAGAAAGGTAATGTTCCTGGGTGCCAGAGGATTCTGGGACCCCAGGATTCTGGGAGTTTGATACAGAGGGGTCCTCGATGGGAGCCATGAAAACCAAGGTGGGTTAGGTGGAATGAAGCCAACGTGAAGACTGCGCTAGCTTTATCATTTTGCTGTCCCGCTGAGCCCTAGCCAGTTTGTATTTGAATATCCATAACTCAAAGAGATGCTTGGTTTCACCAGACTTCGGAGTGGAAGGAAAGGCCAGCTAGTGGCTGTGGATTTGATTCTCTTTTAGGCAGTTTCTGTCTCCCATCCCCTCTGAAGGTGAGCCCATCCTGAGCACCCTCCTTTTCTTCATTCTCCTTTTCCGCACCGCTGCCGGCATCCTGCCATCCGCTCTGATGGTGTGTACGGTGAAGGCCTACGCAGTCAAGCTCTCCCATGCTTGCCCATGGGTGAGTGTGTCTGCAGCATTACTTGGGCGAAGAGACTTAGAGGAATATGCTGGCTCCACTTAACTCAAGGCTGTTCCACATGGCACACAAGTAATTTGAAGCTGTATTACAAGGAGATGAATATTCCTTGTGCACTGAAGATTCCTTGCAATCCTTCTCCCTTTCCTTATAATCTTCCTCCCTCTCATCTTAAAAAAAAAAAATTCTCTACTTCCTTATTTTTTTACTGTTAGTAGAAATGCTATTTTTTCCTAGTGAAAAATTTAGACTTTTCTAGTATTCTATCCTGTTAATGAAATGACTGTCAGTGTGTCAGCCAGTGCACATGGCACAATGATCAGGCCGAGATTCTCGTACCTGTAAACAGCTTTTTGAGACAGGGTCTCGCTCTGTAGCGCTGGCTGTCCTGGAACTCAGTATGTGGACCAGGCTGGCCTTGGATGCAGAGAGACCTGCTGCCTCCCCGATTCTGGAATTGGAGGTATGCTTCCTCATTTGAAATGCCTAGAGGTTTCACTTCTCAACTGTAGCTTTGGAGTTCTTTGTTATTTAATGTCATCCCAGGGTAAAGTTCACTAAAGAAGGGAATGGCAAATTAATGTTTTATTGTTTTTATTTCTAGCTTATTCTACTAAGCTCAACAAATTTCCTGTATTTAATATTAACGATGACTTGAATGATCTGTGTACCAGTGCAGTGAGCCCAAACACCACCAAAGCCACGAGGTACGCCCTGAATGTGTGGCGCTACTGGTGCATGACCAACGGGCTCAAAGACCACACGGACATCACCAAGGTAAGGGGCACGTGAGTTCGCTAATTCTTTTGGCTGACATCACTGAGCTTACTGTGCTAACTGCTGGGGAGAACACCCGTGAAAGAACATGAGCTACAAAGAGAATTATCCACAGCACCAAGTAGAATTTAGAAAGTGTTCGTTAAATATGCAGAAGAATACACTCAGCCATATTTCCAGGAAGAGGTAGGAGCTGATAGAATTGGAAGACAGGAGACCCATAGAGTGAATGATGTGAGGAAGAATAAAATGTAGAGAGCAAAGCCACTTGCCACAGTATGGCTAGGCCAAAACAGACATTGATGACAAGCTCAGGGTCTTGTTTGTTGTGTTTTGTTTTAGGCCTTTCGAGACCAGGTTTTCCTGTGTAGCTCTGGGTGTCCTGGAATTCGCTCTGTAGATGAGGTTGGCCTCAAACCAGAGACCCACCTGCCTCGACCTCCCCAGTGCTGGATTAAAGGTGTGCTCCACCATCAGCAAGCTCAGGGTCCTGTAGACGATGGGAAACCCCCAACATTTCATGTTTTCCATACTGCAGGGTCCGATTGTAAATACCTAGGGCCAGGCAAAAAGGACTCCATTAGAGTTTTTTTTGAGCAGGAACGAACATAATAAAAATGGTACTTTAGAGAAACTAATTAGAAGTTATGAACAAAATAGTTATTTAGTATCCTTAAACCCCAATCCCCACCCCTTTGTAAAATGAGCTCTTCCAACTTCAAGTCCTTGAGATTTGTGAATAGCAGGGGAACTCTAACACATGGAAAGGCTGACTAGAAAGACACTGTTCTGACATGAATACAGGTGCTTTAACCCAAGGTCCAGGGGGATATATCCATTAAGCAGTTTGATATATCCTGCTTAAAACAGTGGAAAGAAGTTGGAAACAGACTTAAACGTCTCACAGGTAGAAGCCATTAGCTGAAGCCTGAAGGCAATGTAAGATTTCAGAGCTTGGGTGATGTACTTAGAGAATCAATAAAGCTGAAATAGAAAACTTGGGTTTTTCCTTCTGCTGCATGGTGCATTAGGTACTGTGAGAGACCTTTCTGTTACAGATGAAGATAGAAGCATCCCGGGGTGAGAGCAAGAGAAAGGAAGGGAGGTGAAACTCACCAGTGAGCCATTCCTTCTGAGGGCAAAACTGGTAATATCAAGGAGGGAAGAGACAGGTTGATGGCTGCAGGACCTTTATCTGGAGGAGGAACCTTTCAGCTATTAACAAAAGTTCTGGGCCAGGCAAGATGGCTCATTTGTTAAAGTGTTCACCATGAGAGCGCGAGAATCTGAAATGAGCTCTGCAGCATCCACACAGAAAAAGCTGCCATGGTGGATATTCAGTCTGGAAGCTTAGAGCTCAATGGCCAGCCATTGAACGAGAGTTGAGTGAGACACCCTGCTTCAAAAAGTAAGATGGAAATTTAAAAAAAAAATTGTAAAACTGCAAAAAAGTAAGATGGAGAGGTAATTGAGGAAGATGTCTAATGTCTACCTATGGTCTCCATAAATATGCAGTACCTCACGTATATGTACGCACAAAATCACATGCTCATCAGAGACAGAGCGCTTGATTGGTAGAGTGGAGTGATTCTAGGTAAACAGCAGGCTCTGGTGGCCACCAGTCATTGCTAATGATCTTTTCAGAGAACATCCAAAATGTAGGCACTGAGGGGTTTGGGCAACTTAAGATCAGATAAGTAGGTGCTTGTTTAAAGACTCATTGCCAGGGCAGGAGGATGGCTTACCAGTTTAGAGTGTCTGCTTCTCTCCCTAAGAACCTGAGTGAGGCACCTCCATGACAACCATCTGTAACTCCAGTTCTGGAGGATGCAGCACCCTCTTCTGGCTTACAGAGGCACTGCATGCATGTGACACACAGACATACAGGCAAAACATCTGTACACATAAAATACACATAAAATAAAATAATGTTAAAATTCACATTGTCTGGCATTTGATGAAAAATCACCAACATGCAAAATACTAGAAAATGTCTCCCTTAAAGAGTGAATCGAGTCTATGCTGGTGACACTCACTTCTAATCCTAGCACCCAAGAAGCCAGGCTCAGCAACAGCACAAGACTCTGTTTCCAAAAAAAAAGGGAGGATGGGGATAAGGAAGGGGAGCTGGGGAGCTAGATAGATAGCTCAGTGGTTAAGAGCCCTGAGTTCAGTTCCCAGCACACATAATTGCATGCGTATAACTCGCTGTCGCTCGTAACTCCAGCTTTAGGGCCAGTGCTCTCCTCTAGACCCCGCAGACAGCTGCACTCATGCGACTCTCCACACAGACATGTGACTGAAAATAAGTGTCTACAAAAACCTCAACAATGAATAGAAAAGCTATACGGATCTGGAGAGATGGCTCAGAGGTTAAGGCACTGGCTGCTCTTCCAGAGGTCCTGAGTTCAGTTCTCAGCAACCACATGGTGGCTCTCTACCATCTATAATGAGATCTGGTGCCCTCTTCTGTCATATAGGTGTACATGCAGACAGAAGACTGTATACATAATAAATGAATAGATCTTTTATTTTTTAAAAAGCATCTAGAACAAAAGGAGAGATTTATAGAGAGTCAAAGGTAAGGTTTGTGAAAGAAGATTTCTTACTGGAAACCAGGCAGATGAAAAAGACAGAGAAACCCTGTCTCAAAGAAACAAACAAAGAAAAACAGAAAGAAAACAACTGTATTTTGTAACTGCAAACACATCAGCAGAGGTGGCAGTAAAGGAAGACCCACCAGACAATAAGGAAATTCTCAGTAACAGGGTCTTGGTTTAGGATACTGAAGTTGTAGTGTGCCCCTCTCCACAATAGGATGAAATTACATCAATTACAGATCACTCACAGGACCTGGTTCTGGGAAGTTATTAAATGAGCCACAGATCAGGAAGAAACCACAAAGCACATTGTAGAATATCATGAACCAAATGAAAATTAAGCCTCAGCTAGAGTCTGCAGAATGCTAAGGAAGCAGGCAGGCTGCCTGCTGACCTTCACCTTTCCTTCTGCTCCTTCAGACCCTACCTCATCCCCAGCTCTGCAGCAGGCCACCTGTTGCACCCTCCCTCCCTTCTCCGCGCCTCTTCAACAGGGTTTCAGTGCTGTGAAGAGACACCATGACTATGGCAATTCTTAGAAGAGAAAACATTTAACCGGGGCTGGCTTACAGTTTCAGAGGTTTTATCCATTATCACCGTGGCGGGAAGCATGGCAGCATGCAGGCAGACACGGTGCTGGAGGAACCAAGAGTTCTACATCTTGATCCACAGGCAGCAGAAGAGGCCTGTGTCATCCCACCTCAAGATCCAGGTCAGGTGTGCCCTCATTCCAGATAGAGTCAAGCTGACAACTGAAGATAGCCCCATCTCCAGTGGATCACACAGCTCTTACCCTCCTGGCCTCCTTTACCCCCTCATTGCTTTATCCTTGCCCCCAACTTGAGCTGGCACTTCTGGGGAACCGACAGGCCACTCTGACCAGGAAAGCAAGGAGGCTAACTGTGGATCTTCATCTCTTCCTCCATCCCTCCAAGTCCAGGGTCTTAAGTCTCATCCCCAGCTCTGTGGCGGTAGCCTCCCCTCACTCTCTGCCCCCATTCCCAGGGGACTGAGCAGATCCTGGTGGAACATCCTCTTTCCTCCCTCCTGTGGGCTCTGCCCAGGTCATCCACATTCCTAAGGATCAGCTCCCAATACCCAGAAATAAAGTTTACCTGGAAACCCAGTGACCACACCTCTAAGGCTCCCGGAAAGGTTTCCTACCAGGTAATACACAACCACCACACTCTCCTGAGAACCATCTTAGGGCAACAGAAACCCAGGAACAAAACGCCTACCCAACAAAGACAAGACCAGATACCAGCACCTAAAATTACAATCTTCCCAATCCCAGATGCCTAGGCGCTAGCATAAAACCACAATCAGTAACAGTGAGGACAATCTGTCTCCATAAGAACCCAGCAATCCTACCCCAGCAGGCCCTGAATATTGCAACATAGATGAAGCACACACACAAAAATAAATAAAATAGACTTTATGAATGTGATAGAGGTCCTTAAAGAAGAAATTAATAAATTCCTTAAAGAAATCAATGAAAACACCAACAGTGGAAGGAAAGAAATGAATAAAACAGTTCAAGTGCAAATAGAATCAATAAAGAAAATCCAAACTGAGGGAAGTTTGGAAATGAAAAATATAGGGACTAGAACAGCAACATCAGAGGCAAGCCTCACCAACAGAATACAAGAGATAGAAGAGAGCATCTCAGGCATTGAAGACACAACAGAACAAATGGATACCTCAGGCAAAGAAAAGGTTAAGTTTAAAACACTGGCACAAGGAGCTGGAGAGATGGCTCAGAGGTTAAGAGCACTGGCTGCTCTTTCAAAGGTCCTGAGTTCAATTCCCAGCAACCATATGGTGGCTCACAGCCACTACAGTGAGATCTGATGCCCTCTTCTCCTGCACAGGTAGAATGCTGTATAAATTAAAAAAAAAAAAAAAAAAAAAACTGGCACAAAGCATTCAGGATATCTCGATACTATGAAAAGACCAAATGAATAAGAATAATAGGAATAGAGGAAGGAAGATTCCCAGGTCAAAAGCACAGAAAGAATTTTCTTTTGTTTTTGGTTGTTTTTCTAGACAGGGTGTCTCTATATAGTCTTGGCTATCCTGGACTCTCTTTGTAGACCAGGCTGGCCTTCAACTCATAAGAGATATGCCTGCCTCTGCCTCCCAGAATGCTGGAACTATAGGAGTACACCAACTGTGCACAGCAACACAGAAAGTATTTTCAACAAAATCACAGAAGAAAGTTTCCCTAATCTAAAGGAGATGCCTATCAAGGTACACGAAGCATACAGAACACCAAATGGACTAGAAGAAAAAAGAAAATCCCCTCAGCACATAACAATCAAAACACTAACGGTACAAATAAGGAATATTAAAAGCTACAAGGGAAAAATAAGAAGTAACATAAAAAGGCAGACCTGTTAG